AACAGGATTTCCTATGGGACACAGTCACATTTTCACCGTTTTGTGTTTTTTGGAAAGGGTCAGGGGCTTTTTAAAATGCAAAATGTCGCATTTTTGTTCAACTGACTTCAATGAAGACGCTGCAGAAATGTATGTAGTGCATTTTTGATGCGTTTTAATCTGCTCAGCAACAAGTTGGGGGAAAAAAGCAAGACGCTTCAAAAACGCATAAGCAAAAACGCAAAACACACCGCAAAAAGCACTGCAGAACTGGATCAAACGCAAACTGCATAGGGGTGAACCTAGCCTTATGCAGGCCATAGATGGGTCGAAAACCGGTCGTTTTTAAAAAAGAAAAAAAAACAAAACGAAAAATCGGTCGTTCAATAGGCCAACGTTACTACCAACGGTAAAAAATAAAATGTAAAAAAAAAAAAAAAAAAAAAAAAAATCGGCCAATTTTCGTCCCGTCTACGGCCAACATTTAATTACTTCTGTCCCTGCAGAGAGCTCCGCTATTATATTTCACATGAAAAAGTATTGCGGTTGCAATAATGTATCTATTTGTATCCATTTCGGATACAGATGGTTTTATTCGGATACAAATAGATACATTGTTGCAACAGCAATACTTTTTCATGTCAAATATAATAGAGGACTGGAATTCTTCTTTTCCTTCTTCTTGCGGGTCACGGCTCATGCGCAGATTTTTTTTATCTGTAAAAAGATCGGCCGTTTTGCCCATCATTGCCGGGAAAATCGGCCGATTTTTTTCCAACTTCACTGATAAAAAAAAAATGTGCCAAAACCCCGAAAAATGGCCGACCAATTAACCCATTAACGGTGCGAAAATCAGCCGATTTTCGACCCATCTATGGCCTGCATTAGCGATGAGGCTGCTACCCCTAAATAATAGGAACAACATGGTTCTTGTAATGAAGTTGATGCTGATCAATTCACAGGTAACTAAACAAAGCAATCCATAGGTCTTACAATAAGAAGATGGCAGTACAAAGCCACAAAAAAAAAAAAAAAAAAAAAAAAAGGAACTGAAAAGAATTGCTGAGATTCTCACTGAAAAGAGATCTGCTTTGTCATGCAGTTTCCTAATGCTGAGGTGGCAGATTGACACATTAGCAGGTGACAACAGACAAGGCAAACATTGAGATGAACAGACTCTGAACACCCGCCAAGCAGGACTCCACCAGCAACACACACAACTATAACTACCATAGCACATGGCCAATATGACAAAGAGCTCTGTGTCCCCATAACCACAGGTATAGGAAAACACACATTTCCACACAATGAAAATCCGCTGCTTCTTCAATAGAATGTAACAATCTTCAATAAAGTGTTCTTTCGGTCATATCGCATTTTATAGGGAAAAAAAATCTGCTTAAAACCCACTCACCTACTCCAACACCAATTTTCCCTCACTGGTTGCATCTCATGTCCCAGTGAGGGAGCAGTGACTGACACCTGTGCTTCTTCTTGGTGACCCTTATGTCACTATTGTGTCCTGTAATGTCTAGGGGTTAACATGACAAACACAGTGACCAGTTCAGAGTCTGGAATCAGAACATCTGTGCATGCTCTGCTACAAAGTTTTATGAAATGGGCCAAAGGACAAAATATGTATATCAACTTTTGCCACTTGGTCCCCTATAGGGTTGAATAAATGTTTTCTTCAAGCTCACTTTTAGTGTGAACTCTATTGCCCCTCTCACAATTGTGTAGTTGTATCAGATCAAGGAAATGCAGACATCATGGCAGTGATCACACCTCTGCTTCTCTTTCTGCAGCCCCAGTGCCTGTAATGGCAAAGATCTTAGGCTGCTTTCACACTGCTCCACAGTAAAAACGCATGTGTTTTTAATGCATTTCCTTGGTGCCTATTACCCAGCATGCACTTGTGAAACTTGGACATAGGACGCAAAAAACGCACCAAAAATGCAACCACAGGTGCATTTTTCATTCATTGCAATGGGGAAGTTTGTTTTTTTTTAACATAGAAAATGCAGAAAGCAGGATTATTAGAAATGCAACTGACTGGTGTGAAGAGTTCTGTAGGATTTACAGAGATGCATTTTTCATGCATTTTGCTTCTGCTTTTCATAACTGAAAAAAAACAGATCCAAATGAATCTACACAAATACACTAACCACACTGATAAGCCAAAATTTTATGACCACCCACCATAACCCATCGAGGCAATGACTCCACTAGACCTCTGAAGGTATGTTATGGTATCTGGAACAAACCATTGGAAGCAGATTATTTAAGTCCTGTAAATTGCGAGGTGGGTCCCTTCACGGATCAGACTTGTTTTTGCAGAACATCCCATAGATGCTTGAATAAAATGTGGAGAATTTGGAGGCCAAGTAAACACCTCAGGCTTGTTGTGTCCCTTAAACCAATTCACCAGACCAGGCCACCATCTTCTATTGCTCCATGGTCTTGTTCTGATGCTCACATGCCCATTGTAGGTGCTTTTGGCTTTGGACACGGGTCAGCCTGGGTACCCTGCGGCTACACAGCCCCATACACAACAAACTGCAATGCACTGTGTTCTGACACCTTTCTACCAGAACCAGCATTAAATATTTCAGCAATATGAGCTACAGTAGCTCTTCTATTGCATTGGACCTCAAGGGCCAGCCTTTGCTTACCACATGCATTGATGAGCCTTGGCTGTCCATGATCTTGTCACCGTTCACTGGTTTTCCTTCCTTGGACCAGATTTGACCAGACTGGTAACTTCTCCCAAGTTTTGGAGATGCTCTGGCCCAGTTGTCTCTCTGGTGTCCATTTATGACACAGAGAATAGCTGCGATTCAACGGATCTCAGCTATTCTCTAGTCATTCACAGTTTATGACACTCAGTAGATCATGTCAGCCCTTCTCTGGAGATCTGTGTTCTCCCTCAGGATTCTCCAGCCCAGAGCTGGAGAATCAGAGGGACCGCAAACTAAGCAGAGATAATTTACCTCTGTTTAGTAAACTGATCTTTTACTGTAATCTCACGAGATTATAGTAAAATCAGCCGTTTTCCAGAGTTTGTAGACCGTTCTCCAGCGTTTGGAGACCGTTCTCCCTTCGTTCGGAGAACTGCTTCATAAACTGCATTCATAGGAGAATTGTGTTCTGCGAGAATGCCGGAGAACTGAGCAGCGATCTATTACCGCTGGTCCATAAACGGACACCATAATTACTATTTGACACTATTCAAAGTCACTCAAATCCTTATGCTTGCCCATGGTTTTGCTTTCAACTCATGTTCAGGCTAGGTTCACATCTGTGTGGGTTGGGAACCCGTGTATAATCACACATGTTCCCGACCGGAAGGAAAAAAAAAATGTGCTGCTCTTTAGCAGACATGTGGAAATGAACGAATTAATGGTACCCCAACATGGTGTTTTTGGGAACTTGGTGCGCAAAACAGCATGGTGCCACAGCAGGGTTGGGGACTTTTTCCCTGTGGGTACAGCAGCTTATTTAAATGACTGGGCTGCTATGCTCACACAAATTCGGCACGCACAAGTGTGAACGTAGACTCATTTGTGGCTTAAAGTGTTACTAAACCCCGGACCCTGCATTCACTATATCTGGTCTTCCACAATACACAGAACATGGAAGTACAATTATTTTTGTAAATATAAACTGCTAAATACCTTTTCTCATCAGCAGTTAGAGCAGTCTTGTGACTTCTATCAGTGTCCAGCTGAGCACTGATTAAAGCTTGTAAGAGGAGTTTCATTCTCCCCCTGATTGTCCTAGGAGGATGTATAACCCCTGACCCTCTGTCTGGACAGTGCTGATTGGCCCTCTGTTCTATCAGATGGATTGGGGACTGTGGAAGAAGGAGAGGATCAGAGAAGACAGGATCAAACAGCCATTTTACACAAGCGGAGGATTAACCCCTTAAGTTCCAAAGTGAGTATAACAAGCATGCTTTACTGCATATACAAATTGATTTTACTGTTGTGGGTTTAGTAACACTTTAATATATTCCACCAAGTTTTTACCATTGTCATGAGATAATGTTATTCAAGAGGAATTTCACGCTTCCATTATTTTCTTTTTTTCTCCCCTCGTTACCTGATACTGAAATGACCAAAACGACCACAGTTGAGATACTTACCCACACAGAAGATCCAGTACTGTCCTGCTGAGATCCTCTTCTCTGCAACTACCGCAAGGTCCCTTGCAACATCATTGGGAGGCTGAGCCAGATCTTCCACCAATGACGTACTGCTAGGCCCAAACCCCTCCTCCATTAGTGAATGGGGTGTGGGGCTCCTGGTATATGAATGTCACATATCCTATGAAACCCCAGGGGCATTGGCTTGGGTGAATGATGGAGGATGGGATAATGTCAATATTCCCATTGCACATGTTCCTGGATATGGACTCATCAGTAGCGGGTGATACAGTGATCATCAGCTGGAAACTGGACTCGTCACAGATCAATGCATATATTCGCCAACACCATGGATCTTCAAATGTCGTCCAAAACGTTTACTACAGAAATATCACATCACAAAAGATTAAACGTTTCCAAGCCGCACAGGAGCCTTTTGTCAGGCAGGGCCCCTTCATCACATGCCTGACGAAGAAGTTCTGTGCGGCTCGGAAACGCTGCACTTGACCCTTTGTCATGTGATCTTTCTGCAGTAGACGTTTTGGACGACATTTGTGCTAGCAAATGGATGGGGGTGCGCCGAAATGTAAAAGAGAACCCGATATGTGTGCATTGGAGTGGGTGGGGATGCAGAGGAGACAAGTCAGATAAAAGGGTGAAGATCAGCTTTCACCTAACCTGTCGGTGGTCATAATGTTGTGGCTGATCTGTGTAGTACATATACGAAGTATGCCCATCATGTGTATAGTGATGACAATGTACTGTGTGAAGGTGAGGCCAGTCCATGGAGCACTGCATGATATCAGACAACAGCCTGGCACAATGCCCACCAGGAAGCCTCAGGCTGGACACACGGACACCTCTGGAGACCACTCACCTCCTCGGTGGCGCTGGGGCAGTAGTAGGCTATGACGAGGGTGGTCAACACATTCATGGTCAGCCCCACCATGGTGATAGTGTTGGGGGCCATCCACAGGGGCACCCTCTCCACCAGCCAGTTCCAATAGACCTGCATGAGGGGCTCCAGCAGAGAGCGGCCATGGGCGCTGTACTTGTGTTCTTCCAGGCGCTTCAGCTGCAGGGCAGTCAGGGGCTCCAGAAAATACAGTGAGGACACCATCTCTTCTCCCCTCCCGACTCTCCTTCCTGTCCGGGGAACCAGCTCCCTTCCCCCGCCCTAAAGTTCAGGGGGCCGGACTAGGGAACTTCATCCCGGAAGAATGGAGCAGCCTGACACGGCAACACACAGCGCTCTGCCTGAGGTGTGACAGTGTAACTCGGTGTACCGTGTGACAGTGTAACTTGTACCAGAGCCCCCCCAGGTGTCGGTGTACCCTGTACCAGAGCCCCCCCCCCCCACTCCAGGTGTTAGTGTACCCTGTACCAGAGCCCCCCCCCCCACTCCAGGTGTTAGTGTACCCTGTACCAGAGCCCCCCCCCCACTCCAGGTGTTAGTGTACCCTGTACCAGAGCCCCCCCCCCCACTCCAGGTGTTAGTGTACCCTGTACCAGAGCCCCCCCCCCACTCCAGGTGTTAGTGTACCCTGTACCAGAGCCCCCCCCCCACTCCAGGTGTTAGTGTACCCTGTACCAGAGCCCCCCCCCCCACTCCAGGTGTTAGTGTACCCTGTACCAGAGAGCCCCCCCCACCCAGGTGTTAGCCCTGTACCAGAGCCACCCCCCCACTCCACTCCAGGTGTTAGTGTACCCTGTACCAGAGCCCCCCCCACCACTCCAGGTGTTAGTGTACCCTGTACCAGAGCCCCCCCCCCACTCCAGGTGTTAGTGTACCCTGTAGAGCCCCCCCCCCTCCACTCCAGGTGTTAGTGTACCCTGTACCAGAGCCCCCCCCCCACTCCAGGTGTTAGTGTACCCTGTACCAGAGCCCCCCCCCACTCCACTCCACTCAGGTGTTAGTGTACCCTGTACCAGAGCCCCCCCCCCACTCCACTCCAGGTGTTAGTGTACCCTGTACCAGAGCCCCCCCCCACTCCACTCCAGGTGTTAGTGTACCCTGTACCAGAGCCCCCCCCCCCACTCCAGGTGTTAGTGTGTACCTGTGTTAGTGTACCCTGTAGAGCCCCCCCCCCCACTGTTAGTGTACCCTGTACCAGAGCCCCCCCCCTGTACCAGACTCCAGGTGTTAGTGTACCCTGTACCAGAGCCCCCCCCCCACTCCAGGTGTTAGTGTACCCTGTACCAGAGCCCCCCCCCCCACTCCAGGTGTTAGTGTACCCTGTACCAGAGCCCCCCCCCACTCCAGGTGTTAGTGTACCCTGTACCAGAGCCCCCCCCCCACTCCAGGTGTTAGTGTACCCTGTACCAGAGCCCCCCCCCACTCCAGGTGTTAGTGTACCCTGTACCAGAGCCCCCCCCCCACTCCAGGTGTTAGTGTACCCTGTACCAGAGCCCCCCCCCCCCACTCCAGGTGTTAGTGTACCCCCCCCCCCCACTGTGTACCAGAGCCCCCCCCCCACTCCAGGTGTTAGTGTACCCTGTACCAGAGCCCCCCCCCCACTCCAGGTGTTAGTGTACCCTGTACCAGAGCCCCCCCCCCACTCCAGGTGTTAGTGTACCCTGTACCAGAGCCCCCCCCCCACTCCAGGTGTTAGTGTGTACCCTGTACCAGAGCCCCCCCCCACTCCAGGTGTTAGTGTACCCTGTACCAGACCAGAGCCCCCCCACTCCAGGTGTTAGTGTACCCTGTACCAGAGCCCCCCCCCACTCCAGGTGTTAGTGTACCCCAGAGCCCCCCCCCCCACTCCAGTGTTACCTGTACCAGAGCCCCCCCCACCCACTCCAGGTGTTAGTGTACCCTGTACCAGAGCCCCCCCCACTCCAGGTGTTAGTGTACCCTGTAGTGTTACCCTGTACCAGAGCCCCCCCCCACTCCAGGTGTTAGTGTACCCTGTACCAGAGCCCCCCCCCACTCCAGGTGTTAGTGTACCCTGTACCAGAGCCCCCCCCCCCCCACTCCAGGTGTTAGTGTACCCTGTACCAGAGCCCCCCCCACTCCACTCCAGGTGTTAGTGTACCCTGTACCAGAGCCCCCCCCCACTCCAGGTGTTAGTGTACCCTGTACCAGAGCCACCCCCCCCACTCCACTCCAGGTGTTAGTGTACTCTGTACCAGAGCCACCCCCCCACTCCACTCCAGGTGTTAGTGTACCCTGTACCAGAGCCCCCCCCCCCCCACTCCAGGTGTTAGTGTACCCTGTACCAGAGCCCCCCCCCACCCACTCCAGGTGTTAGTGTACCCTGTACCAGAGCCCCCCCCCCCACTCCAGGTGTTAGTGTACCCTGCACCAGAGCCCCCCCCCCACTCCAGGTGTTAGTGTACCCTGCACCAGAGCCCCCCCCCCCCCACTCCAGGTGTTAGTGTACCCTGTACCAGAGCCCCCCCCCCCACTCCAGGTGTTAGTGTACCCTGTACAACAGCCCCCCAGGTGTCGGTGTACCCTGTACAGAGCCCCCCCCTGGTGTCGGTGTACCCTGTACAGAGCCCCCCCCCTGGTGTCGGTGTACCCTGTACCAGAGCCCCCCCAGGTGTCGGTGTACCCTGTACCAAAGCCCCCCCCCTCCAGGTGTTAGTGTACCCTGTACGAGAGCCCCCCCAGGTGTCGGAGTACCCTGTACCAGAGACCCCCCCCTCCAAGTGTCAGTGTACCCTGTACCAGACCCCCCCAGGTGTTTGTTTACCCTGTACCAGAACCCCCCCAGGTGTTGGTGTACCCTGTGCCAGAGCCCCCCCAGGTGTGTCAGTGTACCCTGTACCAGAGCCCCCCCCCAGGTGTTGGAGGTGTTTGTTGACCCTGTACCAGAGCCCCCTCCCCCCAGGTGTTGGTGTACCCTGTACCAAAGCCCCCCCATCATGTGTTGATGTACCCTGTACCAGAGCCCCCCCCCCCCAAGTTGGTGTGCTATGTACCAGAGCCCCCCCCCCCCCCCCAGGTCCTGTACCAGAGCCCCCCCCAGGTGTCAGTGTTCCAGAGCCCCCCAGGTGTTGGAGGTGTTGGTGTACCCTGTACCAGAGTGCTTTGCCTGAGGTGTCAGGGTACCCTGTACAGAGCGCTCTGCCTGAAGTGGCAGTGTACCCTGTACAGAATGCTCCCCCGGAAGTGTAGGTGTACCCTCTACAGAGCACTCCGCCTGAAGTGTCCCTGTACCCTGTACATAGCGCTCTGCTTGAGGTGTCGGTGTACCCTGTGCATAGCACTCTGCTTGAGGTGTCGGTGCACCCTGTACATTAGCGCTCTGCTTGAGGTGTCGGTGCACCCTGTACATAGCGCTCTGCTTGAGGTTTCGGTGCACCCTGTACATAGCGCTCTGCTTGAGGTGTCGGTGTACCCTGTACATAGCGCTCTGCTTGAGGTGTCGGTGTACCCTGTACATAGCGCTCTGCTTGAGGTGTCGGTGTACCCTGTACATAGCGCTCTGCTTGAGGTGTCGGTGCACCCTGTACATAGCGCTCTGCTTGAGGTGTCGGTGTACCCTGTACATAGCGCTCTGCCTGAAGTGTCCGTGTACCCTGTACATAGCGCTCTGCTTGAGGTGTCGGTGTACCCTCTACAGAGCACTCCGCCTGAAGTGTCCCTGTACCCTGTGCATAGCGCTCTGCTTGAGGTGTCGGTGTACCCTGTACATAGCGCTCTGCTTGAGGTGTCGGTGTACCCTGTACATAGCGCTCTGCTTGAGGTGTCGGTGTACCCTGTACATAGCGCTCTGCTTGAGGTGTCGGTGTACCCTGTACATAGCGCTCTGCCTGAAGTGTCCGTGTACCCTGTACATAGCGCTCTGCTTGAGGTGTCGGTGTACCCTCTACAGAGCACTCCGCCTGAAGTGTCCCTGTACCCTGTGCATAGCGCTCTGCTTGAGGTGTCGGTGTACCCTGTACATAGCGCTCTGCTTGAGGTGTCGGTGTACCCTGTACATAGCGCTCTGCTTGAGGTGTCGGTGTACCCTGTACATAGCGCTCTGCCTGAAGTGTCCCTGTACCCTGTACATAGCGCTCTGCTTGAGGTGTCGGTGTACCCTGTACATAGCGCTCTGCTTGAGGTGTCGGTGTACCCTGTACATAGCGCTCTGCCTGAAGTGTCCGTGTACCCTGTACATAGCGCTCTGCTTGAGGTGTCGGTGTACCCTCTACAGAGCACTCCGCCTGAAGTGTCCCTGTACCCTGTACATAGCGCTCTGCTTGAGGTGTCGGTGCACCCTGTACATAGCGCTCTGCTTGAGGTGTCGGTGCACCCTGTACATAGCGCTCTGCTTGAGGTGTCCGGTGCACCCTGTACATAGCGCTCTGCTTGAGGTGTCGGTGCACCCTGTACATAGCGCTCTGCTTGAGGTGTCGGTGCACCCTGTACATAGCGCTCTGCTTGAGGTGTCGGTGCACCCTGTACATAGCGCTCTGCTTGAGGTGTCGGTGCACCCTGTACATAGCGCTCTGCTTGAGGTGTCTGTGTACACTGTGCAGAGCGCTCTGCCTGAGGTGTCTGTGTACACTGTGCAGAGCGCTCTGCCTGAGGTGTCTGTGTACACTGTGCTGAGCGCTCTGCCTGAGGTGTCAGTGTACCCTGTACAGAGCGTTCTGCCTGAGGTGTCGGTGCACCGTGTTACAGAGCCTCCCCCCCCCCAGGTGTTGGTGTACCCTGTACAGAGTGCTCTGTCTGAGGTGTCGGCAGGCCTGGACTAGGACAAACATTAGGCTTGGGCACTTTGGACTGAGCAGCCCAAAGCACAGGGACCCTTTCCTCAGATCCCGGTGGCGAAACGCCAGGGACTGGTCACAAGAGTGACCTTTGCAACCCTGGTAGTTCTTCCACTAGTGTCAGAAGGTTTTTATGTTTATTTTTTTACAATTTTATTATTTTTTACATTTGTTTGTGGAAGAGAAGGAAGAAAGGAAGGAGAGAAAGGAAGAAAGGAGAGAAAGAAAGAAAGGAAGGAAGGAGAGAAAGAAAGGAAGGAAGGAGGGAAAAGAAAGAGAGGAAGGAGGGAAAAGATAGGGAGAGAAAGAAAGGGAGGAGGGTGTCACGATCAGGCTCAAAGATCAGTTGCTCTAGCAGTGGAAAGGCTTACCTGAAACCAGCAGGATAGTTACACAGGCAGGTCACCATGGCGG